CTGCACCCCCCCAGCTCTGGGGTTGTCAGTGGGGGAGGGAAAGGAAAGGTTAGGGGGAGACTAACCGGAAAATGTAACTTGTATAAGTGACCTGAAACAGGTGAAGAGCCTCAGCAAAAGAGTCTGGCTGGGATAGTACTATTATTGTTTCCAACCTTGTTCAGCTTCTCCTTCATGCTTCCCAGCCATGGGGAAGAGCATTCAGGAGATACTGGAGCATAGGTTGGAGCCATAAAATATTTCTGTGGCAAAGGATGAGACAGAGACATTCCCCAGCAGGACACATTTTTATGAATCTGGAGAGTGAGCACTGAGTTACATTTAGCCGATTGGAGTTGTCTCTTGGCTGAGCCTTCCTGCCCTGCCTCTTGGAAGGCATGTGCTCCATTCAGCAGCCCCTGCCTCCCCTTCATCACTATTGGTGGGCTTGGGAGAAACAGAATTGGGGTGGGGGGGATGTTTTTGTTAATGGAGAAGGGGGAAATATCAAAAAGCAACTGTGCACTTCCATCAGCAACCTCTTCGGAGAATCTGGTTGTTCTCATTACTTATCACCACACCTGCATACTTCCCCTTGCAGCATGGGTGGCAGTAGTGACCAGACCAGCAGTAGTGGCTGCAGGTACTGGGCTGGCAGTGGAGGTAGCTGAGAGCAAAAGTTAGCTGTGTTAGTCTGAAGTTAGGTGCACCCTATAGACTAACTATATGAGAAAGGTATAACATAATCAGTTGTAAACAGTGGGTTTACCTCCTCAGATGCTGTCAGATGGCAGCAGCTGCCATTCTTACTCTACTCTAAGCAACCTGTGATTAAAGGAGTATCAGTTGAAGTCACTGAGGAGTTTTATTAGTAGGTCTAAATGTTTCCTGAGGAACCCTGACCAGTACCTCATAGTCAGATTGGTACAGACTGTGGGGGTTTTTGCCGTGCCCTGGAGCAGGGGGCATGGCCTTCTACCTGGGATCTCTTGTGCATCTATTAACAATCTTTTATAAAAGCAGGATATTGGCTGCTGTGGTTCCCCTGCTTTACCTGTGGCAGGTTAGTGTGTTGCATCTTGTTTTGTGCCAGGGTTGACAGTAGCTTTATGAAGAGTTTAGATTATGGACTTATGTAGGATGGTTTGGATGGGGATGATGCTGATCTCTGCAGGTCTCTTCCAGTCCTACTTCTCTATGATTCTGTGGTTCAATATGCTTGTCCAGGAAGCTAGCAGCACCAGCAGAGGTGTCCAGGAGGAGAATTTACTTTCTTAGAACAGACACAAGCACTGTGCAATGTTGTTTATTTGCTATTTCTATCCCCCAGCTATGAATTCCAGGTGAAACCCAGGAACCCTCTCGGTGAAGGTCCAAGCAGCAATACAGTGGCGTTTAATACTGAATCAGGTAAGAGCCACAACACCTAGATCCATGAGCAATGAAAGCCATATAAAAAGTCTGTAAAGTAAGTTTGTCCTTTAAGAGGGAATCTGTGTTAGCAGACACCATCAGCATTCATCTTTGGAAGATCTGGGAGAGGTTGTCTGTCTTTGAGTGAGAGTGATGTTGCTCCATGTTTTAAATGGATCTGATGTAATGGTGCCCTCTTACCCTGATTCAGCCTTGTGGATCAGAGTGAGAGACTCCAATGGAAGTAGGAGCCATTCTTCTATCTGGAGTTGGCTGCTTGTAGTTGCCTGTGCTCTGTATATTACCCGGCACTTGAATTCAAATTGGGTTTAATCTATTTAAAGGGTCTGTTGTCAAGTTTGATGCACGTCAAATTCCTGGCTCATTGAAGTTAATGGGAGTTTGGTCTCAGTTAGGAATAAGGGGGTAAAGGGAATAAGGAATCCAGCCTCTTTTAAGAACATGGACTCCCTCTTCTGATACCAAGGTTACCTTGAATTGTTAAACTCATAAGAACTGTTTATAATTAATGTATTTATAATTAATGTATTTTTCATTATTTATTCTGTTTGGATTTTTTTTCACTAAACCTGGACAAGGTATCTAGGTCTGTGGCTCTCCTTTGGGGTGTGCCTACACATGTGCTTTAATGGGCATTGGCTTATTTTAATGTGCATTAAAGCATCACAAAAAAGCCATGCCCTTTAGCTAATGCACATTAAAATAGGCTAATGCACATTTTTCTAGTACCTCACAGTGGAGAAACTAGATTTAATGCACATTACCTAAAGCACATTAATGAATGTGTAGATGTGTGCAGTGACAAGTTGGTTCCCCCTCCCTCCCCATTACTCCATCATTCACTCATACCCTAGAACAGGGGTGTCCAACCTTTTTGAATGTGGGGCCGGATCAGGAACTTTTTATTACCCAGTGGGCCAGCAGGAGCAGGCGCTTGCGCGGCCTGTCCAGTCCGGCCATGGTCTGGGGGCGCAGGGGTCAAGGGGTGCCGCCTGACCCCACCATGTCCTCCCTGTCACCTGCGCAGCCTCAAGGTCACCTGTGCAGCCTCAAGGATGCTGCCACACCTGCGCACCTGGGCTCAGCAGCCAGGGGGACATGTGGGGACTCTATAGCGGGGTGCGGGATGTGCAGGGACATCCCCCTGCTTCCTCTCCTCTGGGGCCGCCTGAGCCCAAGCGGCAGGGGTCCCTCCCGCCCCGGGGCCTGCGACTCACCACCCCCAATGTGATGTCTGCGGGCATGGGGGGATGCAGGGAGGTGGGAGCAGCGCTGGCTTCCCACCCGACAGCCACAGCAGCAGTGGCAGCAGCATCTCCCACGGGCCTGGCCACAGCATCCCTCCGAGCCGGCATCTGCGCCCGCCCACCCGCTGCACTGTGACCTGCTCCAGCCCACGCGGCTGGTGGGGACCAGCGCAGAGCAGGGCCAGCATGCAAATGAGGAAGGGAGGGGTAGGGCTAGGAACCGAAACTCTGCAATGTGGGAGTGGGGAGGAGCTGGCATGCAAATGAGGAAGGGAGGGGTGGGGCGAGGAAGGGACACCGTGAAATGAGGGGGGAGGGGAGGAGCAACGTCAAGCTGACGCAGTGCGTGTGGGAACCTTGTCCCTTCCCCTGCCCTTCAGCAGCCATTAGGAAGCTGCTGAGGGGCTGGGGGAGGGACAAGGGGTTCCCGTTGCAGCACCACAGGCCACAGAAAATGGCTTGGTGGGCTGCATGGCGGCCCGCGGGCCGTATGTTGGACAAGCCTGCCCTAGAACAAAGCTTTGAGTGGCAAGTGTTACAGGGGAATCTTTTAAAAAATTATAATCCATTGACACTGACATTTAAAAAAATCCTGCAGATTTTGGCTGATGAACTCCGCACCCGTGTTTTCACAAAACCCAGTGTGACTGGTCATATCCCATTAATAACATTTGAAAAAGCTCCATGATGCAATAGTTCCAAATTATTACATGAGCAGTTTATTTCTTTAACTTAAAGCAAAAATTATGTGAACCTGACTTCCAAAAAACAGCTGCTATTTTACAAATTATAGTTTGTCAAGCATAGAAAAATCACTTCTCAATGCGCTTCTGTTGAAATGTCAGGGGAGGTTATTTTACAGTGCCTAATTGCGTGCTTGTTTGTTTTTTTTCTTCCCAGCGGACCCAAGAGTGAGCGAGCCAATTTCAAGTAAGCCTTTTATGCATAGAATGCTCTAATCAGACCATTTTTCTGCAGTGAGATAACGTGTGCTATACAACGGGGCTGGCTGTACTTTCCGAGCTAAACATGCTTTCACACATGATTTCACTTCTTCCACCTATACCGCTTGAAAGAGATTCCTGCCAGTCCAAATGTTTACCCGAGCTCAACACAATCAACATGAGGTGGTGTTGCAGTGGCAGCTAGGATGGCTGCGAACCAATGTCCACAAATGAGCCAAGGACAGCTCATATTTTCTCAGCCTTGTCATTAACTCAGAAGGTGTCTCTGTGAAACCAATAAGCTGTTTCTTGCTTAATAATAAGTGACTTAACAGAATGCAAGTCAGAGTCTGCCATTGTACTACCGAAAAGCTTGCCACCAAAAACAGGATGCTTCACAGGGCTTCATGAACACAGTGGTCAAAGACCTGTTGAATTCAGAGAGATTTGGCTCAGGCTCTTTAAAAAACAAGATACCCATTTCAGGCAGAGGGGCTGCTTTGTGCATTTAGTATTGAAAGCACTTGAGATGTACACAAATAGGCTTCTTTTCCCCATACTCATCTGGCTTTTCCTGTATATTTTGCTGTCTCCTAGTCCTGCCTTAACCTTAACCATCTGAGAAAGAAGGAAATGTCACACCCTTTATAACTGAGAATTTTGCCAAGCATACCAAAGCTTGACTCCCTGACAACACAAGGCACCCCACATAAAGGGGGCCCAGTTCTGACCCCAGTTGCACCAGTCTAACGGTGTATGCCAATGGACCCCCTTCAGACATACGCCAATATAGCCTGAGATCAGAACCAGTCCCTAAAAGCAGGTCACCGCAGCTCTGTGTTTGGTAGTGCTAGAGTTAAGTTGAAGCTGTTATGGTTTAGGAGTTGTGAGAGGCAAGGATTTTGCACAGCGATATCTTTTCTTGGACCGACTGCATAGTAGAGTTAGACACTGTCTTTCATTCAAAAGCTTGTCTAACTCTATCCCAGCTCTGCAGTTGGTCGAGTAAAAACTATCACCCACAGAAATCCTTGCCTATGTTTGCACATTTTGCTGCTACTAGTTCCCTAAAACAAAAACAGCAACCTCTTTCAGCTGTGGCTAGAATGACCCACCCAGGCCAGAGGTGGTTGGCTGGGTAGGAGCTAGGACCTGGCCACCCCCACTGCTTGCCTCCCCAGCAGCATAGGGGGAGCACCCACAGCTAACATTTATCCCCACAACAGCATGGGGAGAGTGCCCACAGCTGAAGCCCCCTCACTGCTAAATTCTTCCAAAGGCCCTTATCCATGGGCCAGATCCAATGATCCCACAGCCCAGATACGGCCCACAGGCTGTAGGTCACTGATCTGTGCACTAAACTTCCTTCCAAATGCAGGTGACTATTCTACGTAGTGCGTTTTGAATGGCACCTCGTGGCATGAAGGGTTTCCTCTCCTCTGTATATGTTTGAGTGTGTTTATCATCCTTTGTTATGTATAACACTATTCTAATTAGCCTCTTTCTTCCCCTTCTGCAGTGGGAAAAGATGCCATCTGGACTCAAATCCCATTTGAATCTGACTCCTATTCAGAGTGCAAAGGGAAACAATATGTCAAGAGGACCTGGTACAAGAAGTTTGTGGGAGTGCAGCTGTGTAACTCCCTGAGATATAAGATATACCTCAGTGATTCGCTTACAGGTAAGGGAAGCCAAAGGCAATATGAATATATCCATATGGATGCAGCCCAAATTACACAACACACAGACATCTAGGACCTTCATTTCCATTCTGAACTAAAAGATTTCAACAGATGGACTCTATTGGCTGTGATTGGACATGCACATTCTCCTCACCTTGGAAAAGTGGAATTTCCAAGCTTCCCAGATTACTGTTTAAGATTAGTTCTTTGTTTGACAGCACCCAGAAGCATGCAGTGCAGTTCCTAGAGCATTTGTAGAGGCAAAGGCACGCACCTGGAGAGCACAGTCTAATGGTATCGGTCCTGAATTAAAAATATCTGTGTTTGCACAGTTCTTGCTGAACATTTGGGGCCTAGAACTGGACATGCTGCAAAAAGAAATGGTGGAAGACTAGGAGGCAGAGCAGCTGCTGTTACAATAATCCCCCACAGGGACTCAGACTGGGATGTAAACAAACCTTTTCATGGGTCTGTTGCGAATAATGAAGTTTTACAGGGTACCTGCTAACATGAACATCTGACTTTGAATCTAATTAACGTCTTTTCCTTGCCTGCTTTCATTTTACGATTCCCACCAGGCTCCTGGCCATCACTCCTTCACTGGCTCATTACATTCAGGTTACCATACAACAACTTTTAAAGGCCTGGCTGCTGTTCTGTTTCTTTATTACGGTTAGTGCTCTAGTGCTAATGGTTTGCTTGGCCCAGAAGCGCACACATGTGTACACATATCAAGAGATCTGTGAAGCTTTTGTATCATGATTCCATTTACTGATTGATAAATTGATCACAACTTGGGGGAAGCTTTCTGACCATTATGATTCTGATAGGCCTGAGCTCCACTCGTGCGACCAGCAGAGTGCCATTGCAGAAACCAGATGGGTTTTGCCAGCTTTTACCACCTCTCCCTGACTAAAAGCCAGTCCACATGACTGTTAATAGCTCATAGCACAATTTTAAACAGGACTTGGCACCTAATATAGACAGGGCAGGTTATGGTTAGCTCCTCATGGTCAACTGTTGGCTCTTCTCAGCTTCCGAGTGGGTGAAACCTCCCTGGATAATGCTGTGCTGTAACAATTGCGAGGGTATCAGTGTAGAGCCCAAATTCTAGAGTGACACAGAGCAGTGTAATGCACAGCAAACCTCCCCAGCTGCAAAAGTTAGGCTGATGTATTCGTTATACAGGATTGGCTCAAACAGGAGAAAAACAACGTCTGAAAAGAAGTAATTTTTAGGGCCTTATCCAGTCAGCTGCTAAGCACCCCTAATTGAGAAGTTTTTATGTCTTGAGGAATCAGTAGCGCAGTGCATGGCACCTCATGGAACCGGGCCCACTGCTGAGCATTCATGGACCAGGGAAAGGGAAGAAAAGCAAGGAATACATTCAAATGCTTCACAGACTATATCAAATTCCTATCCAGCTAAACTGCCCAGCCTCCCCCATCACACACACATGCAAGAAAAACCCTGTGGTTATTTTAAAGTGCATACCTCTGCCATAAATAGTATGTGGGCAATTATGTGGCCCAGAAAGACTATTTTATAACAGGGGTATCATTCATTCAACTCTGTTCATACAACAAAACAGTCAATGAGATGTAACATCTTGTAAAACTAGTCAGAAGAAGAAACAGCAGCATTAGGCTACCAGGACTATAGCACAGTCCTAAATCAAATGAACTGACACTCCACTGACAGCCCTGTTAGGCTCCAAATAAGCATCTGATGTATCAATGGCCCATTTTCCTATTTTAATTATATTGTTTTCATTCTTCCTGGGAGAAGGGTCATTTTACTTGACCGGGAACTAATCAAGGTAGCCACATCATTTTCATTACACTGACAAAATGTGGCTCTCTCCCCTGTGTTGCTTTAACCGACATGGACCAGTTGTCACAATATTTGAATGAACTGGAATGTTTGTCCAATAAATATAAAATATATGTTTGACCCCTCCTTTCCCAACTGACGTAATTACCAGCTTCCATATTACCATGGAAAACTTTCCAGTTCTAGGGCCAAGCTCAGCCTTTTCAGGTAGGTCAGTGCAGTGCCTCAGTTCAGTGGAGCTCTGCCTGCTTATGCAAGAGCTAAATTCAACCTGTAGCATCCATCAGGATTTTTCCTGCACTTAAGATCCGCCCATGTAGAGCCAGTTGAAAGGGGCAGCTCATGGATGAGTCTACAGACATTTATTTGGTACCTAACAGAGAGGAGGAGAGTAGGGGTGTGCGAAATGAGCCATATTCATTTCAGATTTCGGAATCAGCCCGAATCGGGGACAGTGATGTGATTCGTTGATTCAAATCAGTGATGCGATTCGTTGATTCGGCTGAATCTGAATCTGAAGATTTGATGCTAATTCGGAGAATCAGTGATTTGGCCATAGACACAGCGTTAAATGTTTTTTCTACATACCTCAAGGTACCAGACACACCTCATGAATGCTGCAATGCTGGGGTGGATGGAGCATCCCACAGGAGCGCAGGGGAGCCCCCGCATGCTCAGCGGCGAACCCAGAAATGGACCAGAAGTAATTCCGGTCCACTTCCAGGTCCACCGGGGAACATGCAGACCCTCCCCCCCTGCCCTCCCCTGGCTCAGCGATCAGCTGCAGGGGGACCCCGGGTGGCCCCCAAGGCCCAGGAGGCACCAGTTGCTGAGCCAGGGGGGGCATAGGGGCACCCCCTACACGCTCCCCGGTGGACCCGGAAGTGGATCAGAAGTGCTTCTTGTCCACTTCTGGGTCTGCTGCCGAGCGTGCTGGGGAGCCCCCCATGCTCCTGTGGGATGTTCCATCCGCCCCAGCATTGCAGCGTTCATGAGCCGCCTACTACCTTGAGGCATGTAAAAAAAAACATTTAAAGCTATGTCTATGGCCAAATCTCTGAATCTTTCCAAATCTCTCTGAATCGATTTGGAGGGTTCTGATTTTATTTGGAGAGATTAAACGGTCTCCTGATTCGATTTGGATTCAGAGGTTCAGTCACCGAGTCAGGCCGAATCTCCATTGAATCAAATTAGGGACTGAAGCTTCGCACAGCCCTAGAAGAGAGCTCTTCTCATGATATCATGCCATTTGCATAAAGGAGCCACCCCTACTGTCCTCATATAAGTGTCCTATCTTTGTAAGCATTCCAGTCATCTAAAAACAATTGCATCTAAACTGTGACTTCAGCACCTGTGGAAATACCTTGCAGCTTTGGGCAGACTGAAGGTTCTGAATTTGAGGATCAAAACTTTTACCCAGGAAAGACTCCCTCAATCAGCACTGGGAACCAGGTCTCCCATGGAACAAAAATAATAAAGCAGGCAGTAATAAGTACCTATCTAAAGCAACAGCACATGCATAAAGTCTGGTCAGCTAGAGGTGAATACCATGGGCATTGATTGGAACATGCAAGATAACTGAAAACAGACCCAGGGACAGGGCAAATATAATCTTATTAGCTGAATACTGAGGGCACCACATGCCTCCCATAAATACATTGTCTCTTGCACAGCAGATATTTAATTGGGGCCTGGGTGAGGTTGCAGCGTCCTCAGCATATGACGAGTGACTCTGAATAAAGCAGTGGTGCTCAGCCTTTTTACAATCAAGGCCCTTCCTCCCCCCCTCACACCCCCAAAATGCCAGCCTTTGGCTTTCACTTGTTTTTTGACTACACAAAGAAGAATAGAGCAGTTGTTCTGTGGCAAAGAACTCAAGAAAGACCACAACAGAGCAGAACGATTTGAAACGCTGGATCCCTGTTTAACATTCTAGGTTTATTTTATGACCCAGGGGTTTGCACGTCTAACATTGATAATATTGTGTGGCATCCCGGAGCACCCTTTAAAACAGTGCTTTCCAAACTTTTCCTCAACATGACCCACATGTATGGCCCCACTTCCTCAGCATGGCCCCTCACTCCCGACCCACAGCCCCCCTGACCCTTCCAGTGCTGCTCCCTCCCAGCCCATAGCACCCTGGCCCTGCCAGTGCCCCTCACACCTGCCCCATAGCCCCCTGGCCCTGCAGCTCCCCACTCCCTCCATGTGCACCAGAGCCAGGGCCTACAGCCCCCTGCCCCCCCCTCCAACAGCACCCAAGCCCCAGCTGCCACCCATGGGAAGTGGCAGCCACTGTGGCCAGAGTGGAGTGTGGAGCCCGGCTCCCCTCCCCCTCCATCCTCTCCCCTGTGGGTGGCATGGCCAGAGCAGAGCCCATGGGGTTGTGGGGAGAATGCAGGCTGCCTGCTGCAAGTTTGTGGCTCCCTGTCCTGCTGCCCTCCACCTGGGGAGCTCCATGCCCAGCAGGCAGGACCTGGCACAGGAGGGAGTACCATATCACCATGCTGAGACACCCCCTGCCCACCCAGCAGCAGTGGGGACATAACTGCGCCACCATCACCGCTGCCACACCTTACCTTGGCAGCCATGATGGTGCAACTCTCCCTCCTGTACTGGGTCCTGCCCACTGGGCTGGAGGGACAGCTCCTGCCTGGAGCTGGTCCACCTCCATTGCAAACTCCATGCCCCGCTGTGGGCGCAGAAATCTGGCAACCCCAATTGCTGATGTTGTGATGCCGTTTGAGGTCATGACCCACTGTTTGGGAACCGCTGCTTTAAAGGATCTCACAGCACCTCAGCACTAGAGGAGAACCGCCTCAGCTCCCTTCTGAATGCTCACGCACCACCCACTTCCCTGACCTGCAAAGACTTTAGGTCTCAGCTTGCCTTCGAGCTTCAAGGTCCAGCAACAGGAGCTAGCCCTTAACATCACTGGGCAATTATAGCATCATGCTGCACAATTTTTGCTCATTTTGGGAACAAGTAAGAATATGCTTGTGCGGGAGTAGCAAACATAATCTGGAAATGTTTTCTCACTAGATTCATAGGGCGTGTGTAGACAAAACAGGGGCCCTAAATTGAAGCAGTGGGTTTTTAACACCGCTTCAATTTAGGGCCTTTTAAACCCCCGTGCCATGCACACACTCAACTTACCTGCCTCTCCGGCATGAAGGAGGGGAAGGCGAGCTGCTGGTGAGTGGAGCAGTCCCTGGGCTGCGGGAGTGGGGGGGACCGGTGTTCCCCTCCACAGCAGTGGCAGCCCCCAACCAGGCAGCACCCGCTTGCAGGTACCCAGCGTGGGTGGTTCTGGGGGCACCACAGCCACGGAGGGAAGCACCAGGCCCCCACACAGCTCAGGTAGGCAGGCTTCAGGTGGGGAAAAAAGAAAGATCAGGCTCGCCAATTTTTTTTTTTCCCTCTCTTGGGCAGAGCCTGCCTTCCCAGGCTACTGCCAGGCTGCCTGCAGGGATTCCTGCAGAGCCCCTGAGCTGCACGGAGCCTGGTGCTTCGCTCTGCGGCTGTAGGGCAGCAAACTAAAACTCTTTGGAGATGTTTTAGTTTGCTGTGCCCCAAGTCTTTAAGGCACATTATGCCGCCAAATTTCCTACAGCAGCTATAATTGATGCGCAATATGCCTCTGATGCGTGCAAACACTGACATAATTTAAGCAGTGCAAAAGCATTTAGCCCACTTAAAGTGTCGTGCACACGTTTACACACAGCCATAGATTCATAGATTGTAAGGCTGGAAGGGACCTCGGAAGATCATCAGGTCCAGTCCCCTGCACCAGGCAGGAAAGACAGCTGGGGCCAGGTGACCCCAGCAAGGTGACTGTCCAGTCTCCTAAGAGTTGGGGCCACTGGTTTTCCTTATACTTCTTAATTGAATGCTAGGAATGTTTTACCTATCAGTAAAAACACATGTTCAGGTATAGAATATTAACATATGGTATTCCTGTCCCAACTTACTTCTAGTGTAGCCTGGCATTAGTGGGGCAGTTGTACCTCAAACTGTACAAAATCTCAGATCCCTGTCACAGTTCACTTTGTAAGTACACATTCTGCGAATGGAGAATTATACTGTATTCCTATTTCAGCCAGTCTTAACCCTTCTGTTCCTCCAAATGATGCAACTTTAATTTGTTCTTTAGATGACTGACTATCTAAACTATTGACAGGTACACATTAGATTTTTAGTCGTCTATAGGACACTGATGTACAGTGTAAGACATAAATAGGGAAAAAGGCATTTTAAGACTCTAGCTTGCTGTGTACCAAGGATAGCCTATGAACATCTCTAAAGCCATTTTGAGTTGCTCAGTGGAAGATGGGTTTGGGCTTAAGTTAGTAGCAAAACTCCCCTCATTGCAGGAATGGCTTTAATGGAAATGTGCACAAATACTGTGTAAAGCACAATGAAGAGAAGGAGAAACAAAAACAAGAATGGAAATTTTAGCTTTTACCCAACAAAGGCGTTCCCTTCTCAGTAATCAGCACTGAACATGGAGCATTTATACCATCCTTTACGTATAGATTTACATCTTAACTGGACAGCTTCCAAGTTAAAACTGAGACATAAAGAATGCTAGCATTCCACTTGTACCCTGCCCTACAAAGGCACCGGTGACAAAACCAAAGCTTCAAAAGGTTCCAGAAATTCCATGTAACTAACCCAATTTGAATTTTCCAGAGGTTTTTCAGAATGCTTTTTCCTTGATATTTTCAGGAAAATTTTACAACATAGGTGACCAGAGAGGACATGGAGAAGATCATTGCCAATTTGTGGACTCATTTCTAGATGGAAGGACAGGACAGCAAGTTCCGCCAGAACAGCTACCAGCCAAAAGTGGTAAGTTCTGAGGAACATAGCTGTAGCAAATTCATAACCATGCCCCCCCGCCAGCTAACACAAGGCCAGGTTGTCTCCGGTTGATGGTGTGAGAGCCAACACACAGCCTGAATGAGACAAGGTAAAGAATTATAACTTGCTTGATTCAAACTATCTTTTGCAATGGGCAAAGTGCTATTCCAGCCTATTTCAGCTTATTTGGATGTAAGATGGTTTAGTAGCAGGAAAGCCTTGGAGTAATTGCTGCGTGACAAACGTTCAGTTCAAGGGAGAGAAACCTTGTCTCACCAAAGGGCTGGGGGCCAGGCACCCCAGGGAGATTGCAACAGGAGAATAAACACACACTCACATTCAAGGCTTTCCAGCTTTTTCAGGGTGAGTTCTATACATTTAAAATCTATAAAGACACCATAGCATTAAGTTTACAAACTGGTGTGAAGAATTATGTTCACACTGATATGGTTGTTTTTCGAGTACTATAAATCATTGGAGTTGTCAATGACATGGCCTTTCTTCTGGGAAAATGAAAAGCAAACTAGAAAGGAAAAGTTATTGGTGGAAGAAAACAATTCATGGTGCTCTAATTCATATCTGCTGCAACTTAAAGTGGATACCCTGAATCTTGAAGCAACCAAGTCTAAAGAAACACGCATGGGATTAGGTTCTCAAGATGCATTTTGATCTCATCTCTGAAGTCAAGACGCAGCCAGGGCTACATAAACTTCTCCCCACTGACTTATCTGTAAAATGTTGGTTATCCATATTTACCAGTACCTGCTTCACAACATGTTGAGGGTAAGGTCTTGTCACTACAAGAGTTGTACCATTTTAATTACACTACTCTAATGACAACTGTACCATACGACATAAAAAAAAAAAAAAATATATATATATATAATATATATATTAGAGGTGCACTGATACATCGGTCCAATACCAGATCGGTACCAATATAAAGAAAATTGGCTGTATCAGATATCAGCCTGATGGAGCCGATTATTTGGCCAATAAATGCCCATGCTGCGTGCAGCCGCAGCGCAGTATGCAGGCAGTGAGGAGAAGAGCCGGCAACATTGAGAGCTGCCTCCAGCTGGTAAGTGCGGTGTAGTGGGAGGGAAGGGGGGGGGAAGGGGCATGGGGGGGCAGATCAACGCCCCCCCCCCCCGCGG